GCAAAATTTACGATTTTTGTAATTAATTCAAAAAACCATGTAACATAAATGAGATTGATTGTTGTTGAATATATTTTAGCAATATCAGCGATTAATTGGAAATATTTCACATGGACGGAGGCCATTTGGAACCAATAGTTTTCACTTTTAATTTCAAATTAATTTAAGGGTGCAGCTGGAATAATTAAATAAAATATCACAATATATATGATAATCTACGAACTGAAATATATCATCACCATGATACTATCGAAATCAACCGGAGGAAGATAATCATGGTTTGCTCATTAGATGTGTTTTTTTTTTTTTTTTTTTTAATAAAAATTTATTAGAATAATATAATTTTAGAATATTTTTCTACTTAAATTTTTATGGATAAAGCTGATAAAAGTTTTTTTTCCTTTTGAAATACACTCCTTGGATTGGATTAAAAAAATTTTCAAATGCATATAATTTTAAATACATTATTTGAATACATTAATATATATATATATTTCTTATGATTGTTATATCAAAATGTTATGCATTTGAAAACTATAAGAATTACATCCCTCATACAATTTGGTCTAATCATTAAAAGTATTTTAGTAACGTTTAAGAAATATAGATTTTTTTTTTTTGTTGAACAGATTATAATTATTTACGTATTAATTGTAAGAATGTGAAAATGGATTCCATGGCACTCAAATATAAAACTCACAGGAGGTGAACGGCTTTAATTCAGGGTTCAATATCACTAGATCTGAGTGGACCATTCAAATATAGATTCTGTTTTTTTTTTTTTAACATATTATAATTATTTATATATTAATTGGAGAAAAGGAAGCTTTAATTAGGGTTCAACACCACTGGTGGGATCAGGCCATTCAAATATAGATTCTGTTTAGTAAAATTATAAATTTTAATTTTAGTTTTCATAAATTTTAAAACTCTAAAAGTAAAACTCATTTATTTTAATGTGTTTTTAAAACATCTCAAGCTGTGAAGAGCTGAAAAAACAATCATTTAGCTAACTTTTCATTAGTTTGGGACACATATC